AAGTTACCATGAGATTTATTTTTTTGTAATAGAAGTAAATTTAACTGAACTGAGGTAGTAAATTATCCAAAATGGTGCCATTAATAAGGTTCAGTTTATTATTTAAACAGCATCCGACCTGTCAGGAAACATTTTTACAGCTGAGTAAAAAATGAAACCATATTTCAGCTGTCCTCAGATCTGTTTGTTTTCCTTTCCTGATCTCCTTCAGCACGACGTGGATAATTAGTTTCACAGTTTAATCTGCAGCACGTGGTCTTTTTCCCCACCGAGCTGCTGAAATAAAGTAAAGTCCGGATAATCAAATAATAGCTGAATATCAATGAAAAGGACCGAACCGCCCGCAGTCCCCAGATCCCCGACGCAATTATTTCCCTTTCCTGTTAATTATTGCTAACAGATGACTTTGAGAGGAAGCCGGTCGCGGCGGCTTCACAAGCGATCGATGACGTTTTAAACGGGGTCAGGACACTCGACTCTGTCAGGACCTGCTGATCGGGACATCGCCTTTAAACAGAATATTTATCAGGGCCGTGAAGACCGACTCGTCTTACTGGAAACTGAAATGTTGTCAGGTTCTTGTTTCATGACAGATAATTCAGAAACCTTGCTGCAATAAGTTGTTATAAATAATAAGTAGAAAAAATTAGTTTTGAGACAGATCCAAATCAGAAACTCTTCTATTACCTTAAAGTGCCTGTGTCGTCAAATTTTTGTAATACATATGAATGCATTTTTAGAAAGAGGACATTGATAAAATATTGCAAAATAAATTTCATGTCACTGAGATGAACAGTTGTTGAGATATTTATCTGTGAAGTAACAGGAAGTGATGTCAAAGGGGAATGTCTGCATGTAAACAGAGCGTTGTTACAACAGCTAACAACAGAAGAATCTGATGTTTGTTTGAGAGAGATGAAGAAGAGTCAGAGTTCAAATAATATTGTTTCAATAAACAACGACCAGAGAGTTTTCTTTGTTAAAGAGTTCCYCTTTGATGTCACTTCCTGTTTCACTTTGGTTGAGCCAAGTTCAAAAGAAAATGGGTCAGTTATGGGACAAAGTGGGTTAAATCGTGTGTATTATTCCAACTTTCTTAAATATAAAAGATGTTTTCTTTGACTTTTTGTATGTGAAGAAAATGCATGTCACAGGCACTTTAAAGCTATAAGTGACCCAGTACAAAAGCCTGCCTCTCTGATGATACGGGGGTGCATTAGTGCCTCCATCGATGTGATGACACTTCACTGACCCAAACAAAACGTCTCCATTGTTGTTTTGGTTTCCAGAGCACAAAGAGCTGTGGAACATAAAGAGTTACCCTCCTTTTAGTATCTGCAGCTTTTAGAACATCTGCTCCATCCAGAAAAAAAAGATACAATAAATTAATTGTGAACAATAAGTCCGAGCAGGAAAAAAACTCCCATTATCAATTCTTGGTGCACGGCGAGCGTCTCTAATCGGAGTCGGAGTCAGTCAACTGACGAGGAACAGGTGTGCCGTAGGAGTGATTATGAAACCTAACAAGCATTTCTCAGAGTCAGAAACTAATTTTCTGTTTCAGTAATTTACCCATAAGTCTCTCTGTCTGCGTTATCTGCTGAACGAAAACACGACCGCMGAGCGAGAAGTCTCAACAATCCAAAAACCTCAGAAACGGCAGGTTTTATCGGACCGAGACGCACAGAGCTGAGGGTTTGTTCTTGTTGTTCCTCAGCTGATCGTCTGATTCATGGGGAGTGGTTGTCTAATGTTTAAAATCAAACATTATCGTTTTTATTCTTCTGCCGTTTAATGAATCTTTTTAAAGTTTCTGTAACAGAAGCAGAACGGTTGGTCCTGAAACAGTCAGAGCTTCACAGAAAAGGTTAAAGATGAGCGTCTGCACAACCCGCTCTGCTAAACACCAAACATTTTTAATGAACCGTTCTGGGACTTCTCAGACCCTTTCTGTTGGACTGAGAGAATAAATGCTGGTTTTTATGAAACCTCTGGTCTGGATTTGATAGAAAACTGGTCTGAAAAGAGTCATCAGTAAATACTGACAGAACTTTTCTGTTTTTTGTGGATGAAAATGTTTTATAGAACCTGGAAAAAGATCATTTTAAGACTTAACTTTACCAAACGCTTGACTTTTATCCTCTTTTAATCACAATTCTCAGTAAAACCTGTCGTCTTTCTTCACAGCAGAGATGAAAACTGACACTAAAGGTCAAAATCTTTCATAAATCTTAATATTATTTCATCCTTAAAAAGGCTTCTTGTCCTAAATTTCATCAGTGTTAGATCAACTCTTCAAACATCAACTTTCCTCGACCTGTTTACATATTTCACGACCCAAACTTCTCTCTCACTGTTGTGATGAATGACGGCATGAGAATAAAACCTGTCAGGTGTCAGAACCAGGTGGATCCAGCAGTGATGAAGGAGTTTAGGACAAGGAGGGATTTCAAACTAAGAGTCAGATGACATTTAGAAAATACTTCGGTTAGCCTTAAGAAAGAGCTTAGCTCTGGAGGCACCGCTAATAGCGTTGGCTAATTTTTAAGGTTTACCAAATTATTTAC